ACAATAGAGTTAAGTTCTGTAAAAAAGTTCAACATCCCCTTGTTCTCTGAGAAGTGCCAGGCTTTGACAGGGCTCTTAAAATCTGTACTGCAGACTCATCGCCCCACTTGGAATGACTGCCAACAATTATTACTGAGTTTGTTCACCACAGAGGAGAGGAGTAGAATTAGACAAGAAGCCCATAAAGCAATACTTGGGACGGGGGGTGGATCAGAAGATGCCAGGAACAAATTAATGAAATTTTCCCTTCCACCAGGCCCCAATGGGACCCAAAAACCCCAGCAGGCATGCAGGCTTTGAACAGTTTTCACCGGTACTTGCTAGAGGGGGTTAGGGGGCAGCCCAAAAACCTACCAACCTCTCCAAGGTAGGGATTGTGACCCAGGGTCCACAGGAGTCCCCAGCCGCTTTTATTGAGCGCCTACAGGACGCTTATCGCACCTACACTCCTATTGACCCTGAGGCCACGGAGAATCAGCGGGCCATCAATCTGGCTTTCGTTTCCCAGTCTGCCCCAGACATCAAAAGAAAATTGCAAAAATTAAAGGGGTTCCAGAAAATAAATTTAGCTCAGCTATTAGAGATTGCCCAAAAAGTTTATAACAATAGGGACACCTTAGAGGCCAAGCAAGATAAGGGAATTACTAAGGCTGTGATAACAGCACTCCAGGAAACCCAAGTTATTGCACGGGGAGCAGAAATCAAGAAGACGCCCAGGAAGACTGTGAGCATACCACCTTGTCCCTACGAAGGACTTTACAGACTTTGGGGTACCAGGTCTCAGCTAAAAAGGCCCAACTCTGCCAGCCCATGAAACGCCAAGTTCGAGAATTTTTTGGGGCAGTAGGGTACTACAGGCTATGGATTTTGGGATTTGCTGAGATAGCCAAGCCCCTGTATGCCTGCACTGGAGGAAATTAGCCCTTGACATGGACAGAGGTAGAGCAACGGGCTTTTGAAAAGCTCGACTGCCCTGACTGCAGCCCCAGCCTTGGCCTTGCCAGACATCTCTAAACCTTTCTAGTTGTTTGTGCATGAAAAACAGGGAGTCGCTAAGGGGGTGCTCACCCAAACTCTGGGACCCTGGTCCCGGCAAGTCGCCTACCTCTCAAAAAAAAAACTTGACCCTGTAGCCTCCGGATGGCTGGCTTGCGTAAGAGCAGTGGCGGCCACAGCCCTATTAGTCAAGGAGGCAGACAAACTGACTTTAGGGCAGGAGTTAAACTTAGTAGCTCCCCACGTGGTGGAGTCACTACTCCATGGAGCCCCAGGAAAATGGATGTCAAACACCCGCATAGTTCAATATCAGGCCTTTTGGATCGGCCCCGCATAAAGTTTTTAAAGACTAGTTTTAAACCCCACCACATTGCTACCTGACAGCAAGCCAGAGGAGCCCATACATGACTGCCAACAGACTATAGATGTCCTCCACGCTGCGCGACAGGATCTCACCGACGTCCCCCTGCAGAACCCAGAAGAGGTACTGTATACAGACGGCAGCAGTTTCATGGTCGACGGAGTCAGGTACGCCGGGGCAACTGTGGTCACCCTAGAGTGGGTTATCTGGGCCCAGGCTCTCCCACATGGGACCTCAGCCCAGAAGGCAGAACTCATAGCTCTGATAAAGACCTTGGACTGGGCAGAGGGAAAAACTGTCAATATCTACACGGATAGTCGATATGCCTTTGGAGCCATTTATAAAGAAAGAGGGCTGCTTACCTCAGAGGGAAGAATCATCAAAAACAAAGGAAATCCTAGCCCTGCTAGAAGCTATATGGAAGCCAAAGGCAGTGGCATTAATACATTGCAAAGGACACCAGAAGGGACATTCACCAGAGGCAAGGGGAAATAGGGCAGCTGAACTGCAAGCCAGACAGGCAGGCTTGGGGCCAGTAAAACCTGTCTCTTCTTGTGACTCTGCTGGCCCCAAACCTGCCTCCTACCCCAACGTCCTCACCTGAGGAAGAAAACTTTGCTAAAGAACGGGGTGGGAGGGCAAAATTCCACAGGATGGTGGGCTCTACCGAACACAAGGATTGTGCTCCTTGAGGCTCTAGGGAGGGCTCTAGTCAAGGACATACACCAGGCTAATCACTTAGGGCAAACAAAGTTAACTGAGCTGCTGAGGGCCAGATACTACATTCCACATTTATATGAGATTGTTAAGGAAACTTCTACTTGTTGTGATATATGTGCCAGAGTAAACCCAGGAGGCAGTAGGTCTAGTCAGGCAGGGATAAGGCTTAGGGGTACTAGCCCAGGGGAACACTGGGAGGTAGATTTTACTGAAATAAAGCCCCCAGCGTGCAGCTATAAATACCTCCTTGTGTTTGTAGACACTTTCTCTGGATGGGTCGAGGCTTTTCCTACTAGGTCAGAAACCGCACTGGTAGTAACAAAAATATTGTTACAGGACCTGGTTCCTCGGTTTGGCTTTCCTCTGACACTGGGATCAGATAATGGCCCTGCCTTTACGGCACAGGTTTCACAGGGCCTGACCAAGTCCCTGGGCATATCCTGGAAGCTACACTGTGCCTATCACCCCCAGAGTTCAGGGCAGGTTGAAAGGATGAACCGGACCATAAAGGAAACTTTAACAAAATTCATTCTAGAAACCGGTGAAAACTGGGTCAACCTGCTTCCTTTTGTCCTCCGTGTCCGATGCACACCCTATCAAAAAGGCTTCTCCCCTTTTGAAATCATGTTTGGTAGGCCCCCTCCCTTACTCCCCAGACCGGCGGATACCGTGCATGCTGAAGTTCATAACCACACACTCCTTAAGTCCTTACAGGCACACTAGTCTGTTCAGTCCCAGGTGTACCCGCTCATCAGGGGAACTCAACCTACTCCAGTGGACCTCACTGACCAGCCGGTATACCCCTTCCAGCCAGGGACAAGGTCCTGGTAAAGAGATTCACCGCCTCTGGCCTAACTCCTCGCTGGAAAGGACCCTACACCATGATCCTGGTCACCCCCACGGCCATCAAGGTGGATGGACTGACTGCCTGGATTCACCACTCATATGTCAAGACTGCCCGCCCCCCCCCGACGCACAATGGAGAGTGACCTCAGCTTCAGCAGACCACCTATAGCTAAGACTTTCGCGCTCCTCACGCTCCCCTTGGAGCGGACCCCCCCCTTGACTCCCACCTATTACTGGTGGGTCCTTACTGAAGGATCCACTGGAGAATATGTTAGTTCTGTAACAGGAAAAGAATCCACCCTTGTCAACTTAACTCTAGAGCACATTCCCAGAGATCCCATAACCTTCTCCCTAGACCTCTGCACTCTCTCAAGCGAGAGCCTAAATATATATACTAGAGAACAAATGAAGACAAGAAGATGGGGGTGGGGAAATGCGGTGAAAGCAAAGGAGATGAGGTTTGGAAACATATAGGCCGAAAAACAGCTTCAGACTATAGGGCTATATCTATGCTCAGGGTCTACCCCACAAAAAAAGATGGAACTGTGGAGACTTAAATGAATTCTTTTGCCCCCGTTGGAGTTGTGAAACTATCTCCACTCTATCAGGATACACCAAAAATGTAGACTCCTTCATCTCTTTTAACCGAGACTCTCCCCCATCCTCATGCTACACTGGGTCTTGTAACCCACTCAAAATAACTGTAACTACCCCAGATGGTAGATGGACAATAGGGCGAACCTGGGGTCTCAGAGTATATATGAGTGGGTGGGACATGGGAAACATCTTTACCATCCAGCGTCAAAAATGTTTTCCTGGTCCCCTTGGCTCACTTCCCTCCTCACAGGCCTGGTGAGACATCTGGCCCTCCTCTTATTGGGTCTCATGTTTGGCCCCTGCCTCCTAAACCAACGGCTCAAGTTTATAAAATCTAGGGTAGACTCCATAAAATTAATAATTAGTCCGTAGAACAAACACACAGTACTAACCAGTTAGAGGAATCAATGATTTAATTCCTGTAAATCAAACAAGGCCAGAATGTGACATGGTAAAAAGCCCATAAAACTGCATACCTCAACCATACCTCCGCTTTCTGTTGAAACTGCTCTCTATAACCCAGATGTGAATAAGTAATTAAGGACTGTGATCCCCACCCTACCCAGACAATGTGTAGACGAATGCCCATCTTAGCTTTTGTGAACCACTTAAGTAACAATCAGCATGTCAAATAGTCCCCTGGCCCTCGGAATGTCCGGAAACCCCTCACCCCATCCCCGCCCCTCACCCTCATCTCCACCCAGAAGGTGATTTGCAGAATCCATTAGCCCTCGGAATGTCTGAAGCCCCTCACCCCCACTCCCAAGGTGGTTTTACAGGTATAAAAAGATCTCGTCACCCTTCTTTCTCTGCCACAGGTTGGAGAGACGTGAGTCCTCCATGGTTGCCGGCAATAAACCCTGCAATTTGGCATACTTTTGTCTTGGTGTTGACTTGCTATGCTTGGTCCGGTATAACACTTAACAAATATTCAAGTTCTCAGTATCTCAGTAACTGCTTTTTACAGCATCTTAGACCAAAAGAAGTACCTAACAATTTGGTTAGGTAGTTGGTTCCCAAACCACTCAATACATTTTTATGTTCTAATAACTTAATTACAATTTAGAAAAAATACTGATAAGTTGAAAGAAAAATATTTCATTCTTAACCACAGCTATGTACTTCTGGGATGCGTGCTTGGCACAGCTCAGCTTTCAGACCTTAGAATCATGTGGGACACCTTCACCCTCATTTTCTGTTTCCCATTGATTTTTCAGTCGTTCATTTTTATTGCAGCAACTTCAGAAAACACAAACCTTTCAATGATACAGTGCCACCAAAACAAATTTGTGTAATCAAGCTGCTAACTCAGGATGTGTCTGACAGATGTCAAGTTCCTCCCAAATTTCACAATTTCCCACAGTACTCCTGTTGCTGGTGAGCCAGTTAAGGTTCTTGAATTCACCTCAAAGAAGAATTTGAGAATGAGTCCAAAGTGAAAATAGGTAAAGACCTTTATTGCAAAGTATAAGTACAGTCTGATAGCTAAGTCAGAGCAGGTTGCTTGAGCGTAAGCCCGCATTGGCTGGCACTGAGAAACTTCTGTTTATGGGAGATTTACATGATTATTCATAAAAGGACAGGAAGGGATGTTGCGATTAAGCCTGTTGTGGGTGGTTTCTTAGGCCCACCTGCACAGTGACCGTACATGCTAGTACATACATCACATGTCTCATTAGCATTTTAATTTTCCACCCAAGGATATGTTTTTTACTATTATAATGGACATAGGTCAGCCCAAGGAAACTAATCATGGGTTTCTGAGCTTGTACAAGTTTGGGGATTTTCCCTTCTTTTCCTTTATTTCCTGCTGCTGGATCTTCCAACCAGGAGCCCAGGACACATTACATGCGCTGACAGACAGTTTGTTCTCTCCATCTATTTGGCAAGTTTGTTCCCTTTTATGGGAGGCTGTGATCACCCTTTCTAACCTACCTTACTCCTGCCGGTTCATTGTGATACCTGAGATGGGTTGGAACATAGTTTAGGAAGAACTTTTTTTATTTTAATCTTATAATCCATACGTTAACAAGGAAAGAAATTTATCTGAGGCATTCCAGTCCTTTTAAATTATCAGGCCTAGAGAGGCATTAAGATGAGATAGCAATCATATCCCACTTCCCCCCTTTTGAGACCATGTATTAATCTACTGAAACTGCTTGATACTATCATAATAGCATAATATCAGGCTATTATAAATTAACCTAATAATGCCATACTGAACTCTATAACATTCTAGAGCTTAACAATGTATAGCCAATGAGTAATTTGCATTATTTTAATGTAAATTATTGGTAAACAACTCAGGAGCTTCTTCTTTACCTTTAACAATTCCATTTGTAACTGCTGCTGATCAGAGTGCATATCCAGAGCAGTTCGAATCTGCGCTCCCTGGTTGCAATCCTCAAGCGTGGCCCAATAAATTCTCTACTTATATTAATCTTTGCCTTAGCTTCTTTCTTTCAGGTTGGCAAAAAGCTACTCCAAGAAAACGGTGAGGCCATACTTATGTTTCTGAAAAGTTAAATAGATGGTATACAGTGGCAGATGATGGGAATTTGGGGACTTCATCTTAATACCAAGTAATCAGAAATTTCTAGAAATCTATACATCTAAATTTTAATGTTATCAGTGGAAGACTATTACAGCAAAAACTTCTGGAGTATTTAAAATATTTCTTGCAGCCAGGCGCAGTGGCTCATGCCTATAATCCCAGCAACCCTGGGAAGCCAACTTGAGATCAGGAGTTCAAGACCAGCCTGGCCAACATGGTGAAACCCTGTCTCTACTAAAAATACAAAAATTAGCCAGACGTGGTGGTGCGTGTCTGTAATCCACCTACTTGGGAGGCTGAGGCAGGAGAATCACTTGAACCCATAAAGCATAGGTTGCAGTGAGCCAAGATCATGCCATTGCATTCAAGCCTGAGCAACAGAGCAAGACTCTCTCAAAAAATAAAAAATAAGTAAATAAAATTTCTTGCTCTAAAAAATAAAGTATATATAAATATCAAAGAACATGCAAATTAGGAGGCATGACAAAGATAAGATAGCCCAACTCCTCCATTTAAAAATCGGGGCCCAGGAGGTGGCTCACAGCTATAATCCCAGTGTGAGACCAGCCTGAGTAACAAAGCAAGACCCTGTCTCCTGAAAAACAAAAGAAAATTTTTTAAAAACTTCAACTGGTTAGATAGATGGAAAAAAATTTTTTTCTTTTTTTGAGACAGGGTCTCATTCTGCAGTCCAGGTAAGAGTGCAGTGGCAAACTCTTGGCTCACTGTAACCTCTGCCTCCCCAGTTCAAGCCATTCTCATGCCTCAGCCCCTTTAGTAGCTGGTGCTAAATGTGTGAACCACCATGCTCAGCTAATTTTTCTACTTTTAGTAGAGACAAGGTTTTGCCATGTTGGTCAAGCTAGTCTTAAACTCCTGGGCCCCAAGTGATCCACCCAGCTTGGCCTCCCAAAGTGCAGGAATTACAGACAAATGACATTTTTAAAAACAATAACTAACACCGTTTAGCTCTTATATACATCAGTCACTAAGTACTTTACTACTGTTGACAAAAATAGTTAAACTCTGTAAAATATTTGAAGAGATTTATTTTAAGCCAAATATGAGTGACCACAGCCTGTCACACAGCCCTCAGGAGGTCCTGAGTACCAGTACCCAAGGTGATTGGGGCACACTGGGTTTTATACATTTTAGAGAGGCATGAGACATCAAATACATGTAAGAAATATGTTGGTTTGATCCAGAAAAGTGGGACAACTCAAAGCTGGAGGGTGGTTCCAGGCTATAGGTGAATTTAAATATTTTCTGATTGACAGTTGTTTGAATTTGTCTAAAGACCTGAGATTGATAGAAAGGAAATGTTCAGGTTAAGATAAAGATTGTGGAGACCAAAGTTCTTGAAGTCTTATAGTGCCTGCCCTTAGACATAATAGATGACAGATGTGTCCTATTCAGATCTTTGTTCATTTCTTTAGGATAGGGAGAGTGTGAAAAGTAAAAACCTCTGCTTTTCTTTGTTCTGTGTGCTGTCATAACAGTCTTCTGAGAAGTAAGAAAATTACCTTTCTGCTGCAAGTAAAATTGCCTTGCTGAGAACATTCTTTGTCTGAGCACTAGTCCTTTTTGGCACCGAGGAATAAACATTTGTTTCTAACAAGGGTCTAGAAGAAAAAGATATGGTATGTTAATAGAGATTCTTTACAGATGCAAATTTTTCCCCACACACAAAAAAGACAGTTTTGCAGGGCTATTTCAAAATATGGCAAAGAAACATGTTTTGTGATAAAATATTTTTATTTTCTTCCTTGTCTCATAATGTTATGTCAGAGTCAGGTTTTTATTCCTGATGTATTGGGTCCTTGCTGTTGTGTCCTACCTCCATTGGCTGGAGCTGCACTGCACAATCTAGACTGATCCCGTTGGCTAAAAACTTAAAACTTTCTTAAATAGGTAAATGCGCAATGGTGAACAAAGGAAGAAAGGTTGGATACTAAGTCATGGTATACAGGGCTAAATAAAACCCATCTGATGAGAATTTATGATTTGTAGGGCATGACTCCTCAGACCCCTTAAATAGGAATTTGGGCAAGATAAAAAATCAGAGTTCAGTCCTCACTACATTAACTCATTAATTCACACTTCAACCTCATGAAATGCTATAATTATTCTTATTTTAAATATGAGTAAACTGAGACGCAACCTAAAATATTTACCCAGAAACACACAACCAGCAAGTGGAGGAACAGGCATCAAACTTCAGCCCATCTGGTCCCAAAGCCCAAGCTCTTCTTCAAATGGAAAAGCTTGGGAAGGTTTTTTTCTAAATATTTAATTCAATTCTTGACAATTTACAAAGTGCTTTACTTATTTATGTACTTTGAGACGGAGTTTTGCTCTTGTCGCCCAGGCTGGAGTGCACTGGTGCAATCTCGGCTCACTGTAACCTCTGCCTCCTGGGTTCAAGTGATTCTCCTGCCTCAGCCTCCCAAGTAGCTGGGATTACACATGTGTGCCATCACTCCCAGCTAATTACTGTATTTTTAGTAGAAACAGGATTTCACCATGTTGGCCAGGCTGGTCTGGAACTCCTGACCTCAGGTGATCCACCTGCCTCAGCCTCTCAAAGTGCTGGGATTACAAGCGTGAGCCACCATGCTCAGCCTGAAAAGTGCTTTAAATCAATTATTTATCCTCTGAGAGTCACAAAACTGCAAAGTGGGCCAGAAAAAAAATATATCCAAATTCCAAGTGAGAAAAATGAGATTGAGCAGTGTCGGGGTCAAGGTCAAGTTGCTAGTGAGCATAAGGCAAGCCCAGATTCCTGCCCACAAGTCTAGGGATCTGGCCACTGGACTGAAAGTGATTAAAAAAAAAAAAAAAAACTTTGTCAAACTGTATTGGGGCGAGGGAGGAAGAGACAGGTGGGGGATGAAGAAGGCAGGCCAGGAGAAGGCAGCGCCTGGGCCAGTGAGGGAGCAGCCTAGCCGCAGAAGCCCGAGCAGGAAGCCGGTTGAGGTCGCATTTTTGCCGTTTTTGGGCCGCTGCCGCGAGGCTTACCCAGGAATGTCTGGGCTGGCACCTCGCGGCAACCGCCGTCTTGGCCTGTAAGGGCCGCCATGTCCCGGCGGCGCGCGCGCTCAGAGGGAGGCTTCGTGCCTGCCGCGGGCGCTGGAGGAGGGGTCCCAGGCTGGCGGGGAGGGGCTGCCCCAGGCCCCGCGCCTACCCCATTACCGAGGCCGGCGCCGGGCCAAGAGGATGTGCAGTGTGGGGCTCTGAAGCATGAAGGGGGTTCTATACAAGTGGACCAACTATCTCAGGTTGGCAGCCTCGTTGGTTTGTTTTGGATAATGGAATCCTATCCTATGATTAACAGGATGATGTTTGCAAAGAGAGCAAAGGAAGCATAAAGATGGCTGTTTGTGAAATTAAAGTTCATTCAGCAGACAACACAAGACTGGAATTAATCATTCCTGGAGAGCAGCATTTCTACATGAAGGCAGTGAATGCAGCTGAAAGGAAGAGGTGGCTAGTTGCTCTGGGGAGCTCCAAAGCATGTTTGACTGATACAAGGACTAAAAAAGAAAAAGAAGTAAGTGAAGCTAGTGAACCGCTGAAAACCAAAATGTCATAAAGAAAGATGTGGACAAACCAACCAAAGACAACGTTACTCAGAGGCAATTGACCAGGTTAGAGAGGAGCATTCTCCTTGCAATCCTCAGGAAGCCAAGACTTTTATATATATTATATACGTATATATATTATATGTATATATATACGTATATATATGTATATACATATAATATATATACGTATATAATATATATATGTCACTGATCAAAAAGCAAAGCGCAGCTGGGTGCGATGGCTCACACCTGTAATTGCAGCACTTTGGGAGGCCAAGATGGGTGGATCACCTGAGGTCAGGAGTTTGAGACCAGCCAGGCCAACATGGTGAAACCTCGTCTCTACTAAAAATACAAAAATCAGCTGAGCACGGTGACACGTGCCTGTAATCCCAGCTGCTTAGGAGGCTGAGGCAGGAGAATCACTTGAACCCAGGAGACAGGCTCACTGCAGTGAGCTGAGATCGCGCCATTGCCCCCCAGCCTAGGCAACAGAGTGAGACTCCATCTCAAAAAAAAAAGCAGAGTTTCAGTACAGTGGCTCATGCCTGTAATTTCAGCACTTTAGGAGGTTGAGGCAGGAGGATCCCTTAAGCCCAGGGATGGACAACAGCACCTACAAAAGAGAAATATAAACTGTTCTATGAAGACCCTATATTAGCATGAAAACAAAAGTGGGTAGTTTTGGTCCTTTCTGTATTTTCAAATTAGTATCTATAGCATGTAGCAATGGTTAGAATAAGTGAATGAATGCATACCATGTACTTACAATCATAAGAATATAAAAAGCACTTCACTCTGGGAGGCTGAGGTGGGCAGATCATCTGAGGCCAGGAGTTCAAGACCAGTCTGGTCAACATGGTAAAACATCATCTCTATTAAAAACACAAAATAAGTAACCAGGCGTGGTGGCAGGCACCTGTAATCCCAGCTACTCAGGAGGCTGAGGCATGAAAATTGCTTGAACTCAGGAGGCAGAGCCTGCAGTGAGCCAAGATCGAGCCACTGCACTCCAGCCTGGGCAGCAGAGTGAAACTACGTCTTTTAAAAAAAAAAAAGCACTTGAAATTAATGCTACCTGTTACTATTATTTTTGTCATTATTACACCCACTGACATTGGAATTCTGATGAGGATCACAGGTGATGGTATGCAAGTACAGAAGAGTCATGAGATGTAAGCTCCGCCCAGGTTTGGTTTCCCTGTGACTCCCGCCAAGGGAGCCTCTTGAGGTAGAAACAACTATTAGACCAGACTCGTTTTCAGTTTTTAGAATGCCATGTCGGAGTGCAGTGGTTAGAATACACCCATTTAAGTGGATGAGCATTAAATCTGATTTCAGCATTTGGCTTATTAAAAATAAGTTACTGCTATCACATTGAACTTGAAAAAATTGTGGTTCTGTTTTATTTAATTTTGAAATTTTACAACAAATTTAACAAACATTTATTTAGTTAGTTAGCTGTTTATTTATTTTGAGACAGGATCTCACTGTTGCCCAGGCTGGAGTCCAATGGCGTGATCTCGGCTCATTGCAACCTCTGCCTTCCAGATTAAAGTGATTCTCCTATCTCAGCCTCCGGAGTAGCTGAAACTATGGACATCTGCCACCATGACTGGCTAATTTTTGTATTTTTTTGGTCGAGGTGGGATTTCACCATGTTGGCCAGGCTGGTCTCAAACTCCTGACCTCAAATGATCCACGTGCCTTGGCCTCCCAAAGTGCTGGGATTACAGGCATGAGCCACTGTGCTCAGCCAAGAAGTAACATTTAAAAAGATTGAATTGAGCCGGGCACAGTGGCTCAAGCCTGTAATCCCAGCACTTTGGGAGGCCAAGGCGGTGGATCACGAGGTCAAGAGATCGAGACCATCCTGGTCAACATGGTGAAACCCCGTCTCTACTAAAAATACAAAAAATTAGCTGGGCATGGTGGCGCGTGCCTGTAATCCCAGCTACTCAGGAGGCTGAGGCGGGAGAATTGCTTGAACCCAGGAGGCGGAGGTTGCGGTGAGCCGAGATCGTGCCATTGCACTCCAGCCTGGGTAACAAGCATGAAACTCCGTCTCAAAAAAAAAAAAAAGATTGAATTGATGTGGCTGTTTCTACTTCTGTTTCTTCTGATGTTAAAAACTAAATTCAAATGACACATGATGGAAGTAGAGGATGAAGGGAGTAGTTTAAAAGACAGATGCTAGCACTTATCAGAAAGTGGTATCTGGTATTTTCTAAGCATTCCCTCCCTCTCCTTTTTTTTTTTTTTTTTTTTTTTTTTTTAGTAGAATCTTTTTTTATTCAGAGAAAAAAAAAAAAGTTTTCCAACCACACACAGGAGGGGTATGAGTAGGGGAGGTGTCTGTTCATCCAGCCCTATCCCCCAGCCCATGTGATTTTGGCAGCAATAAGGGGTGTGGGGTAACGGCTGAAAAAATAAAATGGTGTATGTGTGTATGGGGAGGAAAAGGGTGCAAAGCTGTGGGGAGCAGTGAAGGGGAAGGGACAGAGAAGGTCAGTACTGGGCATGCCAAAGGTGGGAGGCCACTTCATAACATTTCTTATTGATCAAACCACCGTGGACACCTTCTTTGCCCATCAGCAGGACTAGCGTCTTGTCAGTCTTGGCGACAGTGACATTGAAGGTGGGGGCTCCACCGGTGCTCTTGGTACGAAGATCCATGCTAAATTCCCCATCCTGCAGCAGTGAGTCCCGGATAACTGAATACTTCTGGCCTCCAACCCCAGTAGGGATCGGGACTCTGTAGAGGCTGGGAGGGATTCGTAGGCACTGAGAGTGAAGGAAAAGGGCACTGGCCGGTAGGAACCGGCGGGACCCCTCCGCTTGCTGCGTAATGAGCCGAATCCGAAAAGAGGCAGGCGTCCAGTAGCTGAGACCTCGGTGGGAGCGACGCGATCTGGGTGCCCGGTCGCCTCCTCTTCAGGTCAAGAGAGCGCTGGTCCGGTCCCCTCACCCTATGAAAGATCAGCGAACAGGTGGCCTTGCTGAGGGAGAGACCTAGTTAAGCCACCGATAAGGAACCACCTGTTAACGCTTTCAAGGCAAGAGAATAATGTGACTTCAGACTCTTGGGTTTAGTTAAAAACGCACCTGCCACCTAGAGGCCAGGTGGCACCTCTGTCGCGGCAAGTGTCTCATCAGGTGGCCCTTATGTGGGTTCCTATATCTAGGAGGATAGTATTTATGGCTGCTAGAACTTTGATCCTGTAAAAACTGATTTGTAAACGAAGATAGAACTTTCACATAAAATCCATTTGCGTCGGCTCATGCCTGCAATCCCAGCGCCTGAGGTGGGAGGATCGCTTTAGGCCAGGAGTTCCAGACCACACTGCAAAACATAGCAAGACCTCATCTCTATAAGACCCATCGCATGGACAGAGCAAAAGAGCCAAATCTCGTATTTAAAAAATAAAAAAAAGGACATCGCATTTTCTAGAAACGAATTTGTGCAGATTTGGTGCTCAATTATTTTACAGTTTCCATGGAAAGCTCCTTTCCCCAGATGTTGGTACAAATTGTGAAATGCTATTCAGCAACTGAATCTTCACCAGTGACATCTGCTGTAACTCTTTCCTTTGAGATTAAAAAATGGACCTTTTTACTCTCTTGAAAAAAAAAATCTGTTAGAGGCATATCTTATTTTAGTGTGCTTTGCTTTATTGCACTTTGCAGATATTGCATTTCTTTTACAGATTGAAGGTTTGTGGCAACGCTTCATTGACATAAGTCTATTGGCACTATTTTGCAAACAGCGTGTGTTCACTTCCTGAATCTGGGTCATGTTTTGGTAATTCTCATATTTCAAACTTAATCATGATTACGATATCTGTTAAAGAGATCTGTGATCAGTGATCTTTGATGTCACTATTATAATTGTTTTGTTTTTTGCTTTTTTTGAGATTGAAGTGTCACTCTGTCACCCAGGCTGGAATGTAGTAGTGTGACCATAGCTCACTACAAGTTCAAACTCCTGGACTCAAGGGTTCCTCCTTCCTCAGGCTCCTGAGTAGCTGGAATTACAGGTGTGAGCCATCGTGACTAGCTTTGTAATTGTTCTGGGGTACCATGGATCTCCATTCATGTAAGATGGCAAACTTAATCTATAAATGTGTGATTTCTGATGGCTTCACCAGCTAGCTGTTCCCGCATCTCTCACCCTCTCCTGTATTCTCCCTAATCTCTGCGACACAATGATATTTTAGGCCAATTAATAACCTACAATTGCCTCTCAGTGTTTAGGTAAAAGGAAGAATCCCGCATCTCTCACTTTAAATCAAAAGCTAGAGATGATTAAGCT